CTTGAAAATGTTAAAAAAAGAGAGAGAGAAAGGGGCCCGTGCTGGCTCTCGACGTTCCTGGTCTGAAAGAATGTAAAATCATGACGGTGATATTACACGGGTCACTTGATAGTTATACTTTGTGAAATGCTTTCCGTATATCAGTGAACAATGACGTAATTACTTTCACATGTTCATAGAAAAATTACTTATAATTCCTCAAAACCTCTAATGGCAAAATGAAGGTTATTAATTAATTATTTTTCGAATTAATAGAAGTCAAAACTTTACTTTTTGCTCTTAGTTCTATATAATTCAAAATCACTGGAATTAAAGAGTAGAGTATTATTTGTATTTAATTCACCACATACTCGATAATAGTGGGGGAGAGGGAAGGAGGATAAATAAGGTCAGAATATTGTTTTATACCCCCTAGAATCAATAAGATGAACTTCTCTTCCAGAGTAGGGATCTTTGGCGATGACATTTGTTGCAAAAATGTCTCCAGTAAAATAATCATATCGATCTGCAAATAAAAACACGGAAAGCTTTGTTGTCGTTTTTATTCAAATCAACACAACAAAATATCAATGAACCTCCAACTCTTTACTCAGTAGTTTTTAGATGTAATGAATGCAACTCCTGTCAGAAACTTTTCTAGTTTATGTTAAATGTTTTACAAGCATTGTTTTATGCAAATATGAATTTTTTTAATAATATTTTGTTTTATATCAAACATTTGTCAAGAATGATTTTTGTAAGCTGAAGTCACGCGCTAGTTTAATACATTAGAATACTCATGACTTTATTATTCACATTCAAATGTTTACATCTGTATCTGATTAACATTATTTAAAAATATTAAAAACTATGAAAACAATAGAGTTTCCAATCTAAATGGAAATGGACATTTTGAGCTACCGTATTATTTTTACCAGTATTCTCCTTTAAATTATTCTAGGTCTGAGTATCATTTGACAGAAGTAACACTCACATTGACTTCGGGTCTCCAACCTGAAGGTCAAAAGGTCACCCACAGCTATAGTGTTGGTTGGTGTTCCCCGATATAGAATTCTTAAGGTGACACTTGATGTTAGAATGTTCTGTGCTGGAAGGTGTTCTATTTGAGTCGGGTAGCGGCTATAAAATAAAAATTTCTTTCTTAAGCATTTTTTTAGGAAGGCTGACTGACAAGATGAACTTTGACTAATCTGCATTCATTTGATCTTCACTTCAATAAAATTTTACTGCTGAAAAACACATAAAAAAACTTTCCTGGAGAAACCCAGGGTAGAAACACTTAAAGAACTTTCTCGTAGAAACCCAGGGTAGAAACACATAAAAAACTTCCTCGGAGAAACCCAGGGTAGAAACACTTAAAGAACTTTCTCGGAGAAACCCAGGGTAGAAACACTTAAAGAACTTTCTCGGAGAAACTCAGGGTAGAAACACATAAAAACTTCCTCGGAGAAACCAAGGGTAGAAACACTTAAAGAACTTTCTCGGAGAAACTCAGGGTAGAAACACATAAAAACTTCCTCGGAGAAACCCAGGGTAGAAACACTTAAAGAACATTCTCGGAGAAACCCAGGGTAGAAACACATAAAAAACTTCCTCGGAGAAACCCAGGATAGAAACACATAAAAAACTTCCTCGGAGAAACCCAGGGTAGAATATCATTGACAGAGGAGAAGATTTATCTTCTTTGTTTTAGAACTTTCAACTTACAGTTTAATCTCTGTGTGTGAAAGTTTACCAAGAACCAGAGTGAAAAACAAAGTGTCGTTGTAAGAACAATCTTAACAGGTACGTTCATTCGACAGAACTTAGGTGAAAAAACTAACCCTTCAGTTCTACTATCCATATAGTTAGAGGTCACTACGGTCTCGCCAGGTCCAGCTAGATAGCACGTCAGGTTGTACACTTTGTCATGTGATGTTTGAACGTAGTCGTTGAATTGGACCACCACAATATTTGTCATGACGTCCCCATACTGTAAAAGAAGAGGCGAATTTAAAAATGTACATGTAATATTAAAAATAATCATAATAATACTGATTGTGCCTTGCAATAAAACAAAATAACGCCTCATTATATTATAGCAGTTGAAAGATATTTTCTTACTATATTCCTTTATGGACAAAGTGTATCTTTATATAATAAGTTAAAACTACGTTCCATTTTTCATGTTGTACATAAATAAATCAGGCTTCTGCCTGTAAAACCTGCTTTTCTGCGCTACTGGTTCATTTTATACGAAACCAAACTTATACAACTTCATACTTATAATTTAGTAATATTTTCAAAATACTAAATAATTGTTTTCAGTTATCTTATTGGTACATACAAAAACAATATTATAATAAAACCAAAATTCAAAATTATTCTTCCATTACCAGTCTCCAGTTTTTCATGTTGTACATAAATAAATCAGGCTTCTGCCTGTAAAACCTGCTTTTCTGCGCTACTGGTTCATTTTATACGAAACCAAACTTATACAACTTCATACTTATAATTTAGTAATATTTTCAAAGTACTAAATAATTGTTTTCAGTTATCTTATTGGTACATACAAAAACAATATTATAATAAGACCAAAATTCAAAATTATTCTTCCATTACCAGTCTTCGTTGTCATCCTTAAGTCTCAATGGATCATTACACCGAGATATGTTTACATATCAGAAACTTCAACAAAAACATTTCACTGTACCTGTTGTGTGCCGCAACGCGGGAAACCGTTCGCCCGACTGATCTTCAGCACGTTCACATTACCGCCATTTCCATCATAGAAACAAGTGTCGAAAAACCCATATGTGTAGATACGGCCAAAGAAGCCACCTGGTGTCCGTAGCGAAAATTCCATACCGTCTGGTGAGCACGACTGAGTTACTAAAAAGAATATTCAAAATTAATATATTTAGAAAAAAGAAGGACAGTGATATTAAGGGATATGGAAATTACAATTATGGTATTTTGTTATTCTATAATGAAAAATAAAAACAAAACATTTTGTTCACCATTCATTTCAGCCTATACTTGCGGGTTTGTTTGATTTCATGGAATATTAACCTTGACTAAATTGAAACAAAATGTTATAATCAAAGCTATTTCTTAAGAAGTTTTTATATATTTCACTTTTTTTAGTCAGCTAGGCCTATCCCAGAGATGCGAATTAATACAGCAATTGGTTGAAACGTCAAGACTATTTCTTAAAAAGTGTTCCTATATTTTACTTCCTTTAGACAGCTAGGTCTATCCAAAAGATGCCAATTAAAACAGCAATTGGTTGAAAAGTCAACACCATTTCTTAAAAAGTGTTCCTATATTTTACTTCCTTTAGACAGCTAGGCCTATTTCGGAGTTTCCAATTAGAGTAGAAGTTAGTTGAAAAGTCAAGACTATTTCTTGAAAAGTTTTTATGTGTTTTACTTCCATTAGACAGCTAGGGCTATCCCGGAGTTGCCAATTAAAACAGCAGTTGGTTAAAAAGTCAAAACTATTTCTTAAAAGGTTTTATGTATTTTACTTCCTGTAGACAGCTAGGCCTATCCGGGAGTTGCCAATTAAAACAGCAGTTAGTTGGAAAGTAGTAGCGAACTTCATGGACAATAACAATTACTTGATAGTTGTATGGCTGCATGCCTACTAGACCTTTTAGTAAATAACAAGTATGAAATAATTTTATTTAAACAAGAAGGTTTGATATACTTCAAAGCAAACTAATGACATCATTAAACAGTAAAGATATATATATATATATTTAAAAAAAACTGGGCAAATAATGTAATCCTACTGCTGCGACATCGAGGTCACGTGACTAGTATCACGCCACGTCATTCTCGAACTTTCACGTCTTTTCCTTAAATCTCGTGATCTTTCTAGATATAGTGTAGTCTTGTATATATAGCGATGGGGAGGTAATGAGTAATTGAACTGCAGTCAGAGAGAATATTGTTAAGCACGTGAGAAGTTCGTTGAGAATTATAGCGTTTGTTACAGAGCGACTGTTGAAATTAAGTGTATTGTAAAGTTGTATTCGGAAAGAATAAACCAGTTTTATTTAAGAAAGGACTTGTGTCGCTAAAGTTTCATCGGAACGAATTTACGGAAAATTAACTAACGAACGGAGACGTAACACTACTATAATTTGAGGGAAGTTTGTTTGTTTTTCCTCTAACTCCTCTTAGGCTTTTGGATTTGAATCTGTTAATTATGGTTTAATCAACTAGGAATGGTTCGAAATGTGTTAAGAATAAGTTAGGCTTTTGGATTTGGATCTGTAAAGTATGGTTTAATCAACTAGGAATGATTCGGGACGTTTCAAGAATAAGTTAGGCTTTTGGATTTGGATCTGTTAAGTATGGTTTAATAAACTAGGAATGATTCGGGATGTGTTAAGAATAAGTTAAGCTTTTGGAATTGGATCTGATAAGTATGGTTTATCCAGCTAGGAACGATTCGGGGTGTTTCAAGAATAAGTTAGACTTTTGGATTTGGATATTTTAAGAATGATTTGATCAACTAGAAATGATTCGAGATATGTCAAGAATAAGTTAGGCTTTTGGATTGGGTTCAGTCTTGGGCTCCTTACCTTAGGAAAGACATTAAAAGGGTTCAGAGAACAGTTACTAGCATAGTGCTTGTGATGTTGGGGTTGTCATACGATGAGAGGTTGAAATCTCTGAAATTGTATTCTCTTGAAAAAAATAAGAGTTAGAGGGAATCTGATTGGGGTTTTTAAGATTGTAAAGGAAATGGATAGTGCTGATGTATCATCTTTTTTCATACTTAACGGTGAAAATAGTAGGGGCCACAAATATATAACTTTTGTCAGAGTAGGAGTCATCTTCAGCTAAGACAGTTATATTTTTCTAACAGGGTGGTTGGCCTTTGGAATGGGTAGCCTTCAGATGTTGTGGAGGCAGTAAATTTAAGTGAGTTTAAGACAAAGCTTGATAACTATATGAATGACAAGGGCTGTTCTGTTTTTAAATATATTTATTAATAGTTTTAGTTTAGTTTCGAAGATGGAACAGCCGAGATGGACCAAGAGGTCCCATGTTGTTCCAGAACATTGTGTTATATGTTATCTATTAAATGTGGTTTAATCAGCTAAGAATAATTCGGGATGTTTCAAGAATAAGTTATTTTCTTTTAAAATACATAAAGTTCATAGCTCTAGCGATGTCTAAATATAGATCAGTCAGCTGGGGTGGCCATTAGGGGTACTGGTAGGATTTCTCCAGTTTCTTCGTTCATTACATGGGGTATACATACAATCTATTTACATTGCTGACATATTTAGGACAAAAACAGAAACACTAGTCACATTCATAACTGGTAAAACATTAATTCTACACTTGCATTTCGTTTTCAAGTCCCATCAATCATTTAGAAGATTTATTGTTTATACATATTTTCAAGATAGATTCACATATATATTAAGTGGAATTTTTTATGTCATATGTTTTTTATTTACTTTTCGACAAAAACTTTATGTTGCCACTGGCAAACTTCAGGAAAACCATAACAATTTTTTCATTCGTAACTGTTAAGAATTTCATTACCAAATTTCATCAATTATTTGAGAGATCTAATAATCACATGCATCCATAGGCATATGGGGGATTTTTCAAGGAAGGGTTTTGCAATTTTTGCCCGAATGAGGTTATGAGTAAAAAAGCTAAACTTTAGGAAACAAGTATCCGATATGGGGTGGAGGGAGGGCTAATTACCAGGAAATCATTTAATTTGACCGCTCTAAAATATATTTGGAACCTTTACATTGCATTATGAATGTTTGTTTACGTTGTGATGATGCAAATATCGAAATTATTATTTGAATATAAATGAGTATTAATAAGTTAAAGTAATTAGTTTTCTATCTTTCATTAATGACTACTAATCACCCAAATAAAAGCTGAACATTTGCCCGAATGGCTGTATGTATTGCAAGATCCGCCCCACCCCACCCCGCCTCATACGCCTATACGTGCATCGCAAAATATGTTGTCAACTATTGTTTTCAACATTATTTGCGATATTCTTCAGTTGTTGCGAGAAGTATTTTTGAAACTTACCATCTAAGCAATTGCCTCCTCCCGGTCCAAAACCATCTCTTTCAAAATAATCAAATTGGGTGTTTTGGTCAAAATGAGAAGGGTTGTCGATCCTTAGCTGAGACGAATCTGCATCACTAAGTTCACAGTTGTCTGGAGCGAATGGTCTGAAACAAACAAGAGAGGTGAACCTTTCTCAATCTACAGCCAGAGGAAATTTTCCGTGTGTTAGAAATTGTACAACATATTGATTTAAATGACATTAAAAAAAACAACACCACAAATTGGGTAAATTTAATACACAGTAATGAAGCATAATTATAGTTTATGCTGTCTGGATAATTTCACGCTGGGTACTGAGTTTTATCAGAAACTAAATGTACCTTCGTGTTATCTGTGAAACAGTAAATCCATGAAGGTTTTATTTAAGCACTAATAATCGTAATTAGAATTTTCAACATGAACAACTGCTTATGTGCATGTCAGATGAGAGATCCCCTACGATTAAAGAACCGCCGTCCCTAATTTTGAGCTACTCCTCAGAGCTAGGGATACAGTCAGTAGCATCTCGCCGCCACAAGGGCTTTGTTCGGTTCTTTGATCCAAACAACGGGTTTGTATTTTATAATGCGTCCTTAGGTGAGAGTACCAAGCGTATTCTGCAGCATCATGTCTCGAACCTTGGACCCTTCGAACTGCAGTCTAGCACACTAATCACTAAGCCACTAGAATAAGTAAATTTAGTTTCTAACTCATTATAAAGTAATTTTGCTTTATATAATTTTCAGTATCCCTAATGCACAGTTACTAACCTGTAATTGAAAGAACGACAGATGAAGTCTCGAGCTTCTAAACAAGCACGTTCACAGTCCTCGATTCTCTCTGTACGAAGCACACGCCGGATGTAAAACCTTGCAATTCTAAGACTTTCCCTCAGCCTCCGGAAAGGTTGTCCTTCTCCAGTCCCTCCCGGTGGACAGACAGGATAGCTTCCAGGATTAGGTGGAAGTCGAGGACCAGGGGGATATGGCGGAAGTGGAGGCGGCGGGGGATAACGGCGATCTATTCCAAAACTCCCTCCGTAACGATCATCAGGAGGAGGGTGCCGAGGAGGGTAACTACCCCAGTAGTTTGGCCTGTCATTCCATCTGTTCTCTCCCCAACCGCCTCCTCCTCCTCCGTAGTCTGGCCTGTCATCAAAACGACCTCCGCCGCGATATCCTCCATAGCTTCCCCCATATCCCCCTCCTCCAGGGTATCGAGATCCTCTAGGGGAGTCAGTTCTTCCTGTAGAAAAAAAGAATAATTACACTACGGTAATCTGTGATATTTTAAACAATGGGCTCTCTGTGCTCTGCCCACTAGACATACCACTGTGCCAATGGGGAGCATTTTAGACAGAAGTGAAATAAATTCTAATAACTAAAGTATTGAAAACAAAGTTCGAGTTGAGTCGAAGTTTATACGAACGTCATCAACCACTAATTAATGTTACTAATTAAAAGCTCATAGCAGTAATAATACACAGGTCAAACAATCACTCATTTGGTTGAAATAATAATAATAAACCAGTCGTGAGTGGTAAAACTGTAGCTTAGCCAGTCCAAAAGGTTTTCTTTTCTTCCAAATAAAACTTACGTTCAACAAAGTATGACAGCATCAAGTTTTTGCGTAGTTTTTGTTTACTGGTGCTTCCATGGTTGTATGTTGTTATTTGTTCAACAGTTTGTGTGAATTCTTATAAAAATTCGAGATAGACAAACCAAAGTTTTATTTTTCACATTTTAATGACGTGTTGTCCTTTACACATTTTACTACATTAAACATGTGCATACGACATTGGATCCAACGTAAACAGGCCCGATATGGTCAGGTGGTTAAGGCACTTGACTCGCAATTTGAAGGTGGCGGGTTCGAATCCCCGTCCCACCAAACATGCTCGTCCTTTCAGCCGTGAGGACGTTCTAATGTGACGATCAATCCTACTATTCGTTTGTAGAAGAGTAGCCCAAGAGTTGGAAGTGGGTGGTGATGACTAACTGCCTTCCCTCAAATCTTTCATTGACCAACTTCTCACGTGAGAAGTTTTTCAGGGCCAGTGATTCTGATAGCGCAACAAGTGATAAATGATCTTAAGATTTGTATGTTATGTCGTGATATTTGAATTTTGTCAGAGTTCTACATTAAAGTTATGAACATTTATTTGAAATAAACATTAACAAGGAATCAAAGCAAAGTGCTTCCTTTGATTTGTAAAATATTCCTTGAAAAGCTAATTTTGGCACTGTTTTAAAGCCGAGTTTTCAACTTTCTTTGAAAGATTTTCCAAAGATTCAAAAATTCCCCCCCCCCCAATTGAAATTTTTTTTTGAAAAAAAACTACACGTTTCCCGAAAAAAATTCCATCCTAAAAGAAAGCCTGACTTTACTACTGTAACCAAAATTACTAATACATTTGACTGTAATTTCATTAAAAAAACTGGGAATGCTCCGTTCATTTCAGGACAACTATTATTTTTATAATCATAAATAATATTCAACGTTAAACTGGTACACAGT